GTAGGGAACGGGCAGCAAGATCAGGCGCGTAAGGGACAGTGGTAAATTAGGGTACGTTTATTGTCACGCTGGAAATTGGCTGTCACACTGCCATTTGCTTCAGGCGATGACGCATCACACATGCATTTACACAAGTCCTATGGCCCTGATACACGATTTGGCTTTTCCTCTGGGGTTTCCTGCTGGAGTCAAATGGGGTAACTGGCATTAAAGAAATTGAGGGTAAGACCAAAACCAACTTACACTGTTTTTCTTACTTTTTTTTTCTTTCTAAAACATGCACGCATGATATTTAGACATCACATTTAACCCACTCACGTGTACTTAAACAGCTGAGCCAGTCAACCCTAATGTAATGACACCTCAACAGTACTCCAGCTACAAGCTGGAGTTCCAGCCTACAAGCCACAAGGTACGAACACAGCTAATTGGGTCCTATTTATTTCCCCTGGTTCGAGCCTTGGGGTCACACTTTCAATTTTTTCTGTCTGCTACCAGAACCCTTTTTTTCCTAATTATTTTAAATAAAGCTGTAATTCTGTTGCATTCACACATACCATGGGGAACTCAAAACTTTATATAAATTACCAAGCATTATGGGACCTGTGACAACCACCACAGATGCTGGAAATGTTGTTATGAGATTCACTATTAAAGTCAGGAAAGTTACACTGGTGATAAGGTCAGTCTGCCAGGGCCCAAGTCTGTGTTTTATGTTTTGACACATGAATCCGATGTACTGAAATGAAACCAGAAAGGTTGGTATGGAGTTACACTTAGGCGGCTGCAAGCAGAATTTGGCTCTTCCTGAACACTGCTTCTGTGTAGTGAACACTTTAAGGAAAATATTTTTAACTGGTTAGTGGAAGAACAAAAACTTGGGTAATTCTGCAGCCTCTTTAAATTGTGCCGTGACAAGAAAGAAACCCCTCGTGCTTACAGACCTTCTGTAACTCAGAGTCACAAATGATTTATGTCTGGGCTCACTGATAACACCCAACTAAGAGCGTCTGGCTGCAAAAGAGACCTCTCACCAGAATCTCACGGTAAAGTAATACAGGTTTTTACTTAGAAGATAAGGGCCAAAGCATGCAAAAGAAATCACTCGAAAGAGCCAAGCTGGGTAGTAGGAGTAAAGTATTGAGCACAAGTTGCAGGAGACACAAGGAGGGAGAAGACCTATTCCATATCCCAGGAGAAAGTATTTCCAGGCTGAACGTTCACTCCTTCCCAAGATGAGGAAAGGCAGAGCAGGAGGAGGGTGGGCTGCATAGTGCCAGGCACCCAGGATGGGGTGGCTGGTGGAATAAGGCTTGCGTGAAGGGTCCCTTCTGCGGAAGTAAATTACACAGTGACTCCCTGAGTGCAAGCATGGGTCTGTGGATTTGTTTGGAGGAACACCCGTGGTCTAAAAACTTGTGAACTTCAAGGCCTGGGTGTATTTCATTTTTCCCTCCTGAAAGTAAAAACCTGGGACAACGTTTTAGTTGAGAGCAGTGGTACCTCAGGGATCAATATTCAGGTGGTTTTCAGGCAATAAAGAGCGTAAGACACCAATTATTGTGACCGTGAAACTGCAGCCTTTGTAGGCAGTGCCAGATAAAACATACTAGTGCGGTAGTATCTCTAGTAGTTGTAGTCTATCCTGTACTTCAGAACCAGTAACAGAAGTAGAATATGTTTATATAAAAATCATAAACACAGAGATACTTTAAGAAATAAAAATGGCTTTGATCAAGGAAGAAATCAAAGCAAACTGCAGACCATACCGCGTAAGTTCAGGACTTGGTCCAATGCCCACTGCAAGTGAGATTGTTGGTGAGATGTCCAGTGACTTCAGTGAGCTTTGCTTCAGCCCGCTGCAGCCCAGTTGCAGAGGGCAATGCAAGACCTAAATCCCCTTGTTGTTTACTTAGTGGTGACATGAACCACTCGGGGCGTCGCTCAGGCCCTGACATGAGTCTTCAGTCATATTGTCCAGCCTAGCGTCAATGAGCCCTCTAAAATGGAAGAATTACAACTCGGAACTGTCAGTGGGTTTCTACTGTTTCATTTCAATACATTTTCCATTCCATTTATTTTATTAAAAGCAGGCTAAAGGACAAGTCCCTGATCCTGCTGTCGTAAACACCCTGTTGCAGTCGGTGCAGCTATACACG